GCAGACTTGGTTACCACATGCAGGGTGACCACATCACACTCCCAGTCCCAATTTTCCCCCGCAAAAAATACAGATGTTCTGCACTGTCCAGCCCTCTTCTAGGTCCATTGCCCCTCTAAGGGGATTAAGATACAACAGTTTGCCACCACAGATGGAGTTACCCACATAGTCCAACACTGGATTAGTTTTGATTAAAGAATAAAACAAGTTTATTTAACTGCAAAGGGATAGGTTTTAAGTGAGTACAAGTATAAGGCATTAAAGTCATAAATAGTTACAGGAAAAATAAAGATAAAACGCTTTCTAAACTTAACCAATTAGACTTGGTTCAAGGTGAAGTCTCTTGCCACATGTTCAAGTGACATTGCTGACCAAACTCTCAGGCCAGGATGTGTTCCCAAGGTCCAATGGCTGCATCTTTTGGCCTCTTATGTGAAAAAGAGAGATGGATAGAGAACTTGGGGTGTTTTTGCCCCTCACTTTTATGGTCCGGCTCCCCTTTAAAATGCATTTTCCTGAGAGTGACCCCTAGATAAAGTTCTCTCCAGCTGAGAGCAAAGAAACAGGGAATCTGGTAGAGGAAGTTCCATGCTATTTCTTTTCACCTGTGCATTCAGAAATGCTGACCTCCCTTGTCACTTGCCTTACCCCCCTTCCATTCCAAAGAATGGCCACTTGATAGGTGATGTCATCAAAGTTGATAGGCCACCTGGGTAGGGGCATCAACTTGTCCTTTGTCTTTGAGAAACAGGTTTACCCACTTCCCAGACTTTTCTGATAAACACACTTCAGTCACCATTTCAGCTTATGTTCATAACTTTACATACATTTCACCATGATATTATTGACCAGCAAGTTATTAGTTTTCAAATGATACCTCAAGGCCTATTTTGTACAAAGGTTACTACAATAGTGTGTAGGGTGTGAATACAGGGGTGTATTCCATCACACTGGGGGATTTGATACAACAGGGAAATAAAACAGATTCCATTTTGAGCACACTGGGGGTTTGTTAAATGCTGAAAAAGGTGGAGAGAGACCCTTGGCTCTGCCCAACATGGCCGAGGACAGCTTATACCCAGAAAAGTAGTTTAGTGTCCCCTATGCAGTAGTAATATAATCCAGCGCATAATACTTACACATACAGCTCTCCTCTGCAGCATTTTGAGGCTGGCTGTTGGGACTCTTGCATAATCTCCAAATCTCCTGGTTCATACTGTTTTTGGCTGCCCTGTGAAATCTTCTGGTTGAGCCCCATAGCATACATTGGGTCAAAGGGGTTTGGGTTGCTGGCCATGCTGTCTGCAGGGCTCTGTGGAAAACTATCTACCACATCATTCTTTGATTTGGTGGTAGTATCACTTGCTCCCACTACCTGGACTGCATTTTTGCAATACCCGAGGCCCTGTTCTGGTCACTTTTCCACAGGTACTTGTGTTGGAGCTTGTTTGCTTTGTTTTGGCACTGAGACCAGCTTCAGGAGTGATCTCTCTCCTTTGTGTGCTCTGGCTTCAACTTTTAGATGTTTGCATTCTGATGCCAGCTGGGACTGAACATGCAGCTCTCCAAAGACAGCCGTCAAGTCCAGGATCTCTGAAGGGGTCCACGTGGAAGTATGGGGGATTCGGGGATGGCTACTCTAATGGGTATGTGAATTCACTAGTGCCTGATATAAAAAAGGAACGCTCCTGGCTGCTTGCCAGGATTGAAACAGAGAGATGGCATCCAGTTAAGATGATTCCAGAGAAGTTGAGGGCATGCACAGGTACAAAGACAGGTTGATCTAGGTCTGAAGCAATGCACTGTAGAGATTGTAGTTGGAGGACTGCCAGAAGCTAAATAATTTGGAATGGGTCCACATGAGCCTTAAAGCAAACAAACACACTGCACAGTTGAGTTACTCCTGTTCCAAGGAGGATTACATACTGCAACCCCAGAGGCCAAATAATTTGCTTTAAAAAAAAAAAAAGGTTGTGTGTGGATGCAAGGTACTTCAAGGCAACTAAGGCCTGGTCTTCACTAGAAAATTAGGTCAGCATAACTACATCACTCAGGGATGTGAATAATCCACAGCCTTGAACCGTGCAGTTAAGTCAACCTAAGTCCCTGTGTAGACAGCACTAGGTTAACAGAAGAATTCTTCTGTCAACCTAACTATCATCTCTCCGGGAGGTGGATTACTTACAGCAACGGGAGAATCGTTCCCATTGGCATAGGTAGTGTCTACAGTGAAGCACTACAGCAGCACAGTGCAACTGTTGCATTTTAAATGTAGACAAGCCCTAACTAAAGTTACTGCCGTGTAACATGCCCATATGGCAAAGCCTTGAATGCTAGTTACCATGTTCTAACACAGTGTAGATTAGCCTTCTGCCTCGTTAATGAAACCTCCTTCTCCCATATCTTCTCACTGACTTGTGCACATCTGATTTGGCATAATGTTAGTGATTGCTTTCTTAAATAACTTTTGGGGTGAAATCCTGTCTGCATTGAAGTTAATAGCAAATCTAAATGATCTAATTGTTTAATGTTTCTGTTTTTCAGTTCATGTTTGCTGAGGAGAGGACTAAAGGTATTTTTTCAATAAAAATACTTCTAAACCCCCAAAAGTTTTCAAAGTGCAATACAGAAGTATACACATGTATAAAACAAACAGGTGGCAAGATCATCAACAAGAGAAATTGATATTGCTCAGGCTATATAATCCCAATAATGGTATCTGCACACAGATACCCACAGGCATTATAAAATCAGCCTAGAATAAAACGTTTCAGCAAGAGCAGACATTTACCAGATCCCAGATTGATAAGCATTTAGATGGGAACTACTTTTTGCAGCTCTAGCAATCTGGGTTACTAAATATAGACACATTTCAATACAAAGTCAATTTAATTAAAGGGGTTAATCTCTCTTTCGTTCCAGAACAATTGTGCAACTAGCTCAGAATATGATACTTATTTCAGCATGGAGAACACAGCCCAGAAGTGAAACAACTGTTCATTAGTCACTACAATATTGCTCCACTGGGATGTTAGGGTTTCATTCTCATTGTGATGTTAATACCAGTGTTACTCCATTCACTTCAAATCACATGAATTACACATAGTGTGAAGAGATAATCTCATCCTTTTGTATTCAGATGTGTGTGTATTGGAGATGAAAATACATATACTTAGTTCTTATATAGTACTTTACATTTTCAAAGTGTTCAGCAAACATGAACTAATTCTCCCAAAGGCTCTTTATAGCCATGCTAATATACACTACCAATATTTCCTCTCCCCCAACTCCCCATTCTCCTTATAATGTTAATGTGTTTGTTGTGATGGAAGGTTTGCATCTACTTTATCTTCACATTTTTTAACACAGTTTTTCAGTCCAGGTGTCAAATACAAACAAACATTCCTGACATTGGTCTTGTTGATTGAATATGGTGATTTAAAACAAATATGTAGGTGATACTTTGGTATTGAATATTACCTCAATGTTGATTTTAGTAGTATAAAGTTTGAATGGATGTTGCGGAGAAGAGACACAAAATGGCCAAATCATAAGGGACTTCAGTGAAAATGTGCATTTTTAATTCATTTTGGGTAGAATTTTTTCTCATCTGAATAGATACCCCCAAAGCCTTTATATTGTTAAAAAGCACCAGTTAGGTTTGGTGAGAACACTATAGAATTCCCTTAGGAAATTTTAAAGAGAACAGTAGAATCATGAATAGCGCAGTCTCAAGTTGTAATAACCTCCAACAACCAAAGGGTTAATTCCTATTAATTCTGGTAGTAGAAAGGGAAATACTGCAGCAGTGGGCCTATGACCCCTTCTTTGTTTTAAGGGAGTCTTTCCTCTTCCATTCTGAGGGTATTTCCTCCACCCCCCCTTCCACCCCCCGTTTAGTTCTACATCTGTTTCTGGAAAACAGTTATCCTAATTTAGAAATCTCCTGAGTGGCTGGTGGCTTTCTGTAGGTCCTGCTAAGAGAAACAAATCCCTCCTTGGGAAAGGGAATAAATAAATAGGACAGGATCTATGGCAAAGTGGGAGCTACACCTAACTAAGCAAAGAGATACTGAAAACTGCAAATCTCATGGTTTTCTAGGTAGCATATTGCCACCTAGCAGCAGTTAGGGTAAGTACCACAAACCTGACCATTGCTTCATAAACAATACTCTGTGGTAGTCTGGTAGGTCCTGGTATTGTTGTGTCACGTACAGAACTAGGTGGCAGACAATGGAATTAGGAATGGAGGAACGTGGATAGAAATTAATGGCACTCCTGGTTTTGGAATTTAAGATATTGATGTATTTCAGGTTTAGAGTCCCTTGAACACGTTTGTATCTATTTTCTGTACATTGTATTATGACAAGAGAGACTCTAAAACAACAAAATCATCAGATAGGGTAGTAAAGGATGTGGGTTTGACCTTAGTGTGTGTAGCTCTTCACTCATGCAAGTAATCCCATTGATTTCAATACTCCCATCATCTCCTTTTCACACTGCAAAACCAATACAATTATGGGAGTGAGGTCATCATCTCAATTAACTAAATTCCAACTGCAGGGCCAAATTCACCATCACTTACACCTGAGCATCTCCATTATTACTGCTGATGGCATACCAGCCAGAAAAAACAAAGCTCGACTTTCAGATCCCAGGCGGAGTTTGCAAGGCTGACAGTTAGAAACATTATTGAAATACAAAACACATGGAACTTTGTAACGCTATTCCTTATAGTCACTTTTCATAGCAGAACACTATTTCACATAACAAGACAGTGGTAGATTCCGGTTTAGCTTCAGAGATTCCAAGACCAGAAGGGATCACTGTGATCATCTAGTCTGACCTCCTGTATAACACAGGCCATGGAATTCCTCCAAATCATTCCTAGAGCAGATTTTTAGAAACACATCCAATCTTGATTTAAAAATGATGGAGAATCCACCACAGTCCTTGGTGATTTGTTTCAATGGTTAATTATGCTCACTGTCAAAAACATGTGCCTTAGTTCCAGTCTGAATTTGTCTAGATTCAACTTCCAGTCATTGGATTGTGTTTCACCTTTCTCTGCTAGATTGAAGAGCCCATTATTAAATATTTGCTCCTTGTGTAGATACCGATAGACTAATCAGGCCATCCTATAACCTTCTCTTTATTAATCTAAATAGACTGAGTTATATGCATTTATCACTATTTGGCATGTTTTCTAACCCTTTAATCATTCTCGTGCCTCTTCTCTGAACCCTGTCCAATTTATCAACATGCTTCTTGAAGTGTAGACACTGGTAATGGATACAGTATTCGAGCAGTGGCTGCACAAGTGCCAAATACAGATGTAAAATAACCTCTCTACTCCTATTTGGGATTCCCGTTTATACATCTCAGGATCCCTTTTGCCCTTTTGGCCACAGTGTCATATTGGGAATTCATGTTCAGCTGATTATCCCCCACAACTCTCAAATCTTTTTCAGAGTCCCTGCTTCCCAAGATAGAGTCCCTATGCTGTAAGTATGGCCTACATTCTTTGTTTCTAGATGTATACATTTAGCCATATTAAAATGCATATTGTTTGATAGTGCCTAGTTTACCAAGCAATCCAGATTGCTCTCAGTGACCTTTCCTCCTCATTATTTTCCACTCCCCCAATTTCTGTGTCATCTGCAAACTTTCAGCGATGATCTCATATTTTCCAAGTCATAATGTTAAATAGGGCAAAGAACCAGTCCCTGTACAGGAGCCCACTGTAAATACACCCACGCAATGAGGATTCACCATTTAGAATGACATTTTAAGACGTATTAGATCTCAGGAATTTCTGGATTCCAGTCACATTACCATATTCGGTTCACTAGGGATGACCCTGACTGTCATCAACTCTGTATGGAAATATATTGAGCACATTAAAATACATACAAACATACACACCAAGTTTGTGTCTCTTGCATCTCACTCCTCCTTCCTCACTTCTCCTTCTGTGTTCTACAAAACTTTCAGAAAAAAGTGCACCCCACCTTTTTCTTCAAGAGCATTAGAACCATACAGAAATAGGCCAAGTGATAAAATCATGCATCACTTTGCTCCATTGCATATGTCATAACTATAAAGGGAAGGGTAACAGCCCTCCTGTGTACCATACTATAATCCCTCCTGGCCAGAGACACCAAAATCCTTTTACCTGTAAAGAGTTAAGAAGCTCAGGTAACCTGGCTGACACCTGACCCAAAGGACCAATAAGGGGACAAGATACTTTCAAATCTTGGTGGGGGGAAGGCTTTTGTTTGTGCTCTTTGTTTTGGGGGGAGTTCGCTCTTGGGACTGAGAGGGACCAGACATCAATCCATGCTCTCCAAATCTCTCTGAACAAGTCTCTCATATTTCAAACTTTAAGTACAGCCAGGCAAGGCGTGTTAATTTTATCTTTGTTTTCTCAACTTGTAAATGTACCTTTACTA